ATAATAATTGTTATTATAAACGTTGGGTATGTATGGCAGGTGTAATTGTGGCAGGCCTATGCGCTGTCAATACTGAAATTGGGAACTAGTTAAATGGATGTGATTTCATGTCTCTCCATTGTGGTGCATGGATTCATCTTCAACGTGCTCCGGCTGGCGTTGGAAGTAGTTCCGGTGGCTCAGCAGCGGAGCGGAGCGCTCAGAGCCGGAGCTTCGTGCTGGTGATGAGCTCAGTCAACGCGAGCAGCGGCTCGAGTCCGCCCGTCATGACAGTCGAGTGACCGGGGCAGCGGTCAGTGTGACGCCCGCACAGCTCCGCTCCGTGCCCGCTGCTCGACCCACAGCGTCCGGACACCCGCTCCAGCTTTTTTTTTTTTTGTCTTCGAGGGGGGAATTTTTTTTCTTCCGTGCAGGACAAGGCGTCTGGAGCTTTTCTGGAGCAGCGTGCCGACACAAACCCAAGAATTGAGCCGGTTCGTGTTCACCTACGACGGTGAGTAGTGTTCGCAGGAGAGGGTTCGAGTGTCAGTCAGGAGGGTTTGTGGTGAAGGGTGATTCACAGACAATGTGCTGCTGGAAACCACTGGCGTTGACTTGATGGCGCTATGGTAAGTTCGCTGCCTGTCACTATGTGCATGCACACGCACACTGGAGCATTTGGCTTTAACGCAGATGTCACATGAAGTCGACTCGTGTGCTCGTAAGTTTCAGTAAAGCTCCGTTAAAAGAACGGGCCCGTGCATGAGAAAGTGGAGTTAGAATGAAGCAGTCATCCGAAGTAGTGGGGTTGTGCTGGACGCGGAAATGTGCATGAACAGTGGCGTGCACAGAGTAAAAACACTTCTCAAGTGATAACAGAGCTCAGAGATCCTCGTGCACGGGGATGTGCGAGGGGCAAAGTGATTTAACTACTAAATGTGAAACACGAATCTGTTGAGAAGAAAAGGAGAGAAACGAGTCCACTCACTTGAAACCGTTTGGATCAGTGGATCCATCCACTCTACAACTTTGTGTCACAGCATGGAATATATTCAAGAGGCCTATTTGCTTCATATTTGTGTATTTTTGTGTGTATTTTTTACTGCTGTATTTTAAAGGACGTGACATGTTCACTGTGTTTGTGTATTTCAGAATAATTTTAGTGAGAGTATTAGGATTAAAATCATCAGATTTACATCAGAGATACTGGTGTTAACCTTTTTATTGAAACCTAATTTACACGGAGGTTCTCAGTACCCCCCACAAGAAACACTCTAGGATCCCCCCCTCACAGGTCCCCATGGAATAATTTGACATAGCCTATTTTATCCACTTCTTAGTTATGTGAAAGAACAACACAAGAGAAATGTTTTATAAATATTTTCACCACGTAAACAGTGAATACTCATATCATGATTATTTGCATTATTTTTGGTTACACACAAATAAAGCATTTGGGTCCCAATAATATAAAAAGCTCTATACATGGAGCTCTCAGTCATCTTGGTAAGGAAAGGCAAAGACATGGCTGTGGATCAAGGGTTGTGACCTGGGGACTGCAGACTGCATGGGTCATCCAGGTGATCGAAGACCTGAAACACCCTGTGACCCAGGGTTCATCACTGATGTTGTGTCCATTGGTCCAGATAGTGATAAGATGTTTTTTTTTTCTTTAGTTCCTGTGTATTATTTGCAGCAGGTCACTTTAAAGCTCTTTTCCACTGGTCAAAATACCCACTAACATCTGGCTTTTGTCTGCAGTGGGAATGGATACACTCGTCTTTCACTCCTGGATCAAATGACTCTGCAGTAGACACAGGTTTTTATTGGTATTTGGTAGTCTAGAGGCTGACACATTACCTTTTTCTGCACAATGTCATGAAGGGCATTGAACTTCGAGACATTGGTGCGTAGCCATTTGTGTAGTTACTGTTTTTTGCATCTTGGGAACAACGTGCAACAACAATTTTTGTTCTTCATATCATGCAAAATGCAACACTGGCAAGACAGCGAGGCGAGACACCTTCTTGGCCTCCGGTATGTTTTTGATGTGAAACGTGACTCACTGGGGGGGGGGGGGGGCGGGTCTGTTTTTGTGAAAGGAGTTTACCTGCATATTAAAAACCTTTGTTTCCCTTTAATTTTGGTGTAAAAGAGATAGTATTCCTTTCCCTCCAGTAGAAGCAGAGATGTGGATGGTGCAGTCGTTCTCAGAGGCTATGAATTTGTTTTCCATATAGGCTGCCTCAAATGGACCACAGTAGTGTCTCTCTCTACAAAAGAGACCTTAACGCGAACGGGGGCTGTCTTGTACTGTAAAGGAGTCCTTATCTTTCATCCTGCTGCAGTGTGGGGAGCCGGCAAGCACTATACAATTTCATCTCTATGACAAACACACACAGACAAGGGGGAGGCGTTCACGTGTGTGTGTGTGTGTGTGTGTTTGTGTACGACAGGCTGAGGAAGTAAGTGTTTGAGAGAGAGCACCCTGCTCCTGATTTGGATGCACCTCTAATTCCTATCAAGATGAGAGCTGTCTGAACAGATTTCTCTCATCATTATTTGCTCTGAGATTTACTTGCGCTTGTAAATGGTGTTGATTGAGGGTAATTTGGCTTTTTAATTGCCGAACAGCTGCCACACTCGCTGCTGATTGCCATTGTAGACTTTCTCAGTAGATCACTCATAGACCCCTAAATGCCTCATTAAATCGTTATGCAGAATCTCATGAAACGCGGAGAGAAGGAACTCTCATAATGTTTTACTGATTTGTGTTTTATCATCGGAAAGGTCGTCGTAATTAATGCCAATGTCAGCAAATGCGGTGCCAAGGAGCGAGTGTAGTAATGACTTTTTGAAAGTTGAATTAAGGGCTATTTGTGGATACACTACATGCATTGCGGTTTCTTTGATAAAGACAAACTCCATATGCCAGCATGTGAATCAGTCATGGCTGTCAAGATTTTATGTGGTCGGCCTGCATATTTATTATGACTTGTAATATATTCCCTTTTGTGCGACTTCAAAAGTAATGTTGGGCAGCCAGACTTTCTCCTGTGTCTGTCAAGGACGATTTGCCACCCAATTAAAAACACCACAGAGTCAAGACGCTGATCTCTTTGCAAAAATATGTTGAGCAGTTAAATAACGAGTTGTAAATAAAACATATGCTAAAGTTGTTAGTAGCTGAAACTGATATTTCCAATACTAATCATAGACTGTGACTGTTAATAAAAATGGACGACATGATTGAAATGTGAAGCTAAAGTGCATGAATCACCACCTGGTGGCTGGCAGCAGTATAGGTCATAAATACTGTCTCCTCCATGTTAGCAGTCTAGCAGATGTGACATGTACCGAACTTAAAAAATCCTCCAATCGCTGGTGTGCAGACTACAAATGTGCAAAATGGCAGCGTTCGTATCCAGAATGGGAATAGTGGGAGGAATTGGAGATGTGTCATCCATCTTTATATACAGTCTACCAATATATTAGCTGATATATAATAATATAGGGTTAGGGTTAGGGGGTTAGGGTTATTTTACCGTTTCAACATTTTGTTTTACATTTTTTATCATAAACAACTATAAATCAAATATATAGAACCTGAATTAGGAAAATAAACTCTAAAATCTAAACATAAATGCCCATCTTCTGTATAAGGCTGTAATTCATATCTGTGAAAGATTCAGCTGATTTCATTGACCAACCAATAAATCGTTTGGGCGATGTAGTTGATAGTTTTATATTTGTATTCAGGTAAATACAGAAACATAATCCCACCGTCTTTGTGTGTCTGTAGTTCATGTTATTGTGAAACCCAGCATGTGTCCCTCAGTATCTTTTCTTGCAACTCATAAGTTAAACAACAAGTCTCTTCGACATGCTGTGCAGAGGCTGTTGGGCTGTCTTAACAGCACCATTGACCCCTGTGAACTGACTATGAGCAAACATTTTATTTTTTCTGCCATTATACAGCGTCTGCCTTTAATCTTGGAAGGATTTGTTCAACTAACAAAGAAACCCTGAACATACTAATGCTGAATATGCTTTTAGCAACCACCGATAACCATCCTCATCAGTTGCTGGGGAGCCGTCTATTGCTCTCCATCATGAGCCCTCTGTAGCACCTGTCTGTAAACACAGCTTCTCTAGAGCTATTAAAGGATGGGAAGAGAAGGTCTCCTTTGCTCCCCTCTAATCTGCCGCGGTAATTATCAGGCCAGCGCAACATTACTAGGTCTTCAGGTCATATTAATTACCTCATGTCATATCAATAATCAGCAATAACCATCAGTTAGACAAAGTGATTATTGAAATGACCCTGATAGTCAAAGTCATTCCCACACCCCCTGCAAAGTGAGTGGTGAAAACCTTCGTCCCCACAGAACGTTCATCAGCTGCTACCTGTACACAGTACTGTAGCAAACTCCTCCATCATTAGGCAAGTGAGAAACTGAAGGCATTAGAGAACACTTCCTCCCGTTTTAAGTACCTTTAAGTTGTCTGAGTGCTCCCAGTCACTGTGATTTTTGTCTCATCCCCAGGAAAGTACACCTAATTTGAATTCAAATGCAGCAAATCCTTTTATCTTGTCAAAATCCCCTTTGATTCTGTTTGGAAAGCACAGCGATGGTTTGAAAGAGAGGGATGTAAAAGATAAGATGGAGGAGGGGTGGGGGCGCTCACTCTTAAAGGCCTTCATTGGGATTGAACTCTACAATGGTGCTGCCAGCGACAAGTTCAGTGCAAAAGCTTCCGTCGTGAACCTGATGTAAAACCTCTGTCTTACAAAAGCAGAGTGTTGTTGTACTCTTCTGGTTATTTTTTAATGAGTAACAATTGTTAGCCAATTTGCATGTAAAACAAAGTAATTATAAACAAGCATCAAAAAGCTGTAATACTGTACTTCTAAAAAATGTAAATTACTCTCCATTATAAAGCGCAACAAAAAGCTACGCCATGCCTCCGAGCCAGGGCCTCTAGGTTTTGGATGCCTGCTTCCATTATTAATGCTATTCACAAGCCAAACTTTTTAGGTTGGTGCAGTTGGGCGCTTTAATCTATTTTTTGCTGTAAATTAATGAATTTTTAAAGAGGACTAGTCCTTGCTGAATAGTGCTGGATGTGGGAATGTAGCTTGAGTCGTGGTGACGCAGTGCTGTAGCCCCTTTACTGTGCAAAGTGTGGGTTCACAAACAGCATCGCATCTCTCTCCTGGGACCTCTCGTTGGGGGAGTTTGGCGAAATGCTGCACTCCTATGTTTTATTTATGACAAAATATGCCTTTTTAACTTTGCCGTTGTCAGAATCTGGAATTGTGATAGCTTTTGCCTTGTCGGCAGTGGTAAGTCTTCTGGGTCGCTAACTCCCTCTACCTTGGCAGATGTTTTCAGGTGTTATGTTCTGTGCGGGCTTAGCGAGTTAATATTTTATTCCAGGCCCTCAGGGATTCCGTGGAACCGACTGATTTTCTTGCCTTCTTTCAATCAGATTTTCTTTCAGACCTGAGGAAAATGGTGTGAATCAGAACATTCTGTTTCAGTTGAGATGTCACTGGATTGACTTGGTGGAGGCGGGCCAGCCAGCGAGCCCCCCGGAGAAAGTGTTGTTCCGTCATGGCTACATTATTGTCCTCTCTTTTTATTACTCTTTTTTTCTTCTAAATATTCCTTTCAGGAAATTGTTTGCCTGACCACTCGCTTTAAGGACTAAGTCCACAAAATATATTTCAGTTTGAAATGGTACATTACATCGATGTCTCTGCAGGTCTTCTTTCAAAATAAGACGGTATCAAACGATAATTGCTTAACCCAGCTCCATTGAGAGATGATCAAGCAGCCTCCATAAGGGCAGCTGATTTGCCTTGATATCTTATAATTGAACCTTTTCAAGGGTATGTTTTCTTGTGCTGAAGCAGAAAGTAATTAAGACATTCAATACTACTTTTGGACCTTTTCCTCTTTCCTTTTCAATGGCTCACACTTCTAGACATGACAGCACTCAGTACGCCGACAGACTTTCTTTTGACACATTAGCCTTCCCCTCACCAAGGCGGTTCCTCCCAGAAACCCCCTCTGCTCGGCACACTCCGGGTGGGTATTTTGTCATTACTTCATTTTCCTCTGAAAATATTTTGATGCCTCTTTCCTTTGCACCCCCAAACCCACCCTCCTCTCACCCAACCCCCCCCTCTTCATTCAAAGTTCTCTATTAAAATGCAGAACTGTAAAGCCCCTCTCTCAGTCTAAAAGCCTGCTAGCAGCGGGGGACTGTTGGTTGTTAGTGATGCACACAGCTGAGCGTGTGCATCACATCCACAAAGTCTAATGGGTGAATACATTCAATCACACACAGACCCTCAACTCTTTTAAAGGGACAATGTTCCCAGTCATGAAAGCTCTGTCCACAGTGTGGAGAGTGATGTATTTAAATTCTTTGAAGGAGAAAGATTTCTTCTTCACAAAAGGGCAAATTCTGGCTCCTCTGGTTTAAAAAAACCCATTTTACACTCTTCTCTGGAAGTGTCAGCTAATCTCTAACAACTCTCAAGTTTTGAAAGCTAACTTTGTACATGCTTAAAAATATGAGATGCTACAAGTTCCTTTTGCCAGATTTTGAACTTCTTTTGATTCTGAGTGATACAAGCCAAATATCTATTTCTACAGATATATGCTACACACACTCCCACTATTAAATGAAAAACTGCTTCTCTGTATGAACAGCTGCCAAAATATCCCCTCTACACTACATTTATTTCCTATTGAAGTACAGCTCTCTGAAATGTCAGGGAAGTTTTCTGATCAATGAACCAGAGCTGAATCTTGTTTTTTAGGTATTATGTTGGTTCATTAGTGCATGAGCCCCCAGTCATTGCATTACAATTAGTTTCTTTCCTGCCCTGCAACAAAGAAATCCCCCGTCAGGGACAGTGTCATTAAATTTACAGTATCTGTTTAGTTTTATTTCTAAATATTCAGATAATTGTTTATTTTTATTATTTTGTTATAATTATTACATAGAATACTGACATGTATCTGGTAATTGGTTTTCTTAACAAATTGCAGGCCCCTATTTAGAATTGCTGTCATAACATCAGTTAACTAGAATGGCACTCAGAGTGCATACTGGAGGATTCACCACAAGCGAATGGGCATGTTGATGGTGGTCCGAACAATCAACAGACAAGATAAAATAAAAACAATACAAATATCGCAGGGTGGAAAGATAATGAGATTCAAGAATTTTTGGTGATTCAGGCAGACTCTCACTTGCAAGATTCAAGATTCTATTTATTATCATTTTAGTATGAGTATTTCCATACACATGAAAAACAAAATTCTGGGTCTCAAAAGCATGAACAGTGCAATCAAAAATAGAAAAACAGCAATAATTGCAATTTAAAAGATTATTAAAACCAATGTTGAAGGAAGGAGTATATTGACATCCTTATACACATTCATATGTTAGTTGCATCGTCCCTTTCAAAGTGCTCTTTATATGTCAAGTGCATTTTGTTGATGTGTTGCAAACAAAAATAGATGATCTCTGTGTCTGACTGGACATTTTCCTGTTGCAACACCGGTCCAGACCCCATTCTCCAGAATTCATGTCTGAAAACGGCAACACAAACCAACACACGGACAGAGGTGAAAACATAAACTTCTTGGCGGAGGTAATTATAAAAAGGGACATAATTTAATGAATGGGTGGGGAAAAAAACAACATACATTTTGTTCTCAGTCCATAGTATAGACAAAATCCCAACATTGTACAAACCTTGCTGTAAAGTAACTTCAAGGCACTTACTCTAATGAAATAAGACTTCTGATACTGTTGTTATGATGGAGTATGATCTCGTCATCTTTAGGCTACATAGGTGGAGTATTTTTTGCCTGAAATGTAAAATATGAAGTGAACAAACATCAGCAAAGACTAAGACACAGATGACATTGTATATAAGCCTATCGCTGTTTCTGTACACTCTGATAACCATGAACAATTACCAGACATAAATAAACAGCCTTTATGGAAAAACATGCAGCCCTCAGTTTAGACAGCATAGAACTCGAGGATCTATGCATATAGTACAATGGATTCCTGTAGAAAACTGCACTACGATAAGAAGTGGTATACTACAAGCTGTCTTCCCTGCAGTCATCATTTTTCTCCCCTGATACCACTTGGGCCTCTGAGGCTGATGCGAATCACAGCAGACACCAGAAATAAAAGAGAATGTGGCGAGGTTAGCCCAGTCACTGTGGGACCGGTTGACTGAGTCGACTAGGTAATTGGTTGCGTCTACCCGCCCAGCGGGGCTCCAATCCCCAGAAGCCAAAGTCAAGCTCCTCCTCTTCTTTCTCTGCTCCGCTCTGTTCTATTACTCATCATTCGAACTGCTCGCCAGGCTACCGGTGCAAAACTACACCGTGCCGCCGTGCAGCCAGCCCACGCTCCCAAACTTCTCGACAAAAGCAACCATGGCAGCACAGCAGGTCAGGGCTTGTGGCAGGCTGATTTGCAGCTTGTGCCTCCTTTTTAATGAGGGGAAAATAAGTACTTGTTGTTCTGTGTCTTGTGTGTCACCACCCCCAACTACCCACCACCACTACAACGAGCAATGTTACCTTCCCTTTAGCGAAAAACAAAGGTGCACTAATTAAGATGGCTTCCTGGGATTTGGAAGAAGAGGGGGGTTTTGGTGTGGTTTCTCCCACAGTGGCAGGGCCTTGAGGAGGAGATGGGGATGATGTTGAGAAATAGGCCTCATTGGGTATGTCTCTTCTCTCGATTCCTCTTCCTTTCCTGTAGTCCCACTCCCCGGCTTGTTTGGCTCGATGAGTCTGCTGCTAGAAATTAGTTTTTTCTACTTGTAATTAAGCAAGGTTTTTTCTTTTTACAGTAGCTTATTTTTTCCCTTCTTCCTTTTCATCCTGGTGTACTGGACTCTCGAGGGGAATTGGTGGAAAGAGAGACAGTGAAGGGGGGAGGGGGTTGTGTTCCTCCTGGTAAGCAGACTCATTGATGTTCTCCCACCTTGATTATATACAGTGAGCATGAATGGAAAATGCGTGGGCCAATAGGCTCTTTGTTGTTCAAGGACACCCGAAGGTTACTGCATGCAATGATAGATGTAGGTTTAGATGTAGATTTCTCTTTAGGGTGAGGCTGAAATCCCCAGTTATTGTTAACGGTTCACTTACCTTGAGCATCACTCTGTCTGACGCTTTAGCAAAACTTTACCTGCTTTTCCTAGAATCTATTATGTTTCTTGTCTTCTGGAAGCACCGGGCTCTTAAGGAATTCAATTTTCTTTGTTTGGTACAAACGCAACATCTTCACTCCAGTGATGAGTAACATTTACACAACATTCTCAGCCCAGTAGTGACAAATGTACAAATGTTCTGTGACTGACTGAAGTACAAGAACAATTGATGAGTAATTTCTCTCACCAAAACTCCAAATTGTCTTTGTTTTGTCCTGAGTTTGCAAAAGCAAATAAAAAGTTGTTCCGACACTACTTACGCATGTTACACAAGTTCAGCGCCAGTCTAAAAATAGCTACCAATTGAAAATGTTTAGGCTTCTTGAGTTTCTTCATTGTTTGCATCTGTCTGAGAAGGATGCAGGGGGATGGGGGGTGGGGTTGTATCGGGGTGAACACGGCCTTGACAGGAGAGTGAGGCACGTTGGGAGTCAGAGAATGGGAACATGGTGTTTGGGGGGGGGGGTTTACACAGAGAGGGAAAGGGGACGAGTCTTTCAGCTCCTCCAGAGGGTTGGAATTCCTCTCGAGCTGTTCCCCCCCATTTGGCAGGCACTTGTGAAAACAATTCCCCAGCTTTTAGTCACTCCGCAGATCCAATTGCCATTTCCACTTTGGAGGGAACGAGACTGAGAGGCAATCCAGATAGACGGAGAACAGAGAGAGAAAGAGAGAAGAGTTTTAATCGGGTTGGACAGATGCCGAGGCCAGTTGAGCGGTTGTGTGATATTAATATCTCATGAAGGCAGTCTGGCAGAGCAAGCTCATCGTCTTGTGTGGTTTTTCTGTGTTTGTGTGTTGCAGCAGCGGCCATTGCGGTGGCTCAATGAAGAACTTGTGAACATGCACGAGGCAAAGACTCTACCTTTCACTTCTGTGACTTGCCCAGATGCTTTGGCCCAAAGAAAGATGGAAAGGAATGGGAAAAGTAAGACACTAAAACACATGCCTAGTACCCCATACTGCTTTGCCTCCCACTGTGTATTTAATGGAATAAAACAGTTTGATTCAACCTGCTTCTTATCCATAGCTCACATTGTAGATCATGTTATGTGCATTGTTAAAGATCAAGTGATGAACATGCTAAAATATGTAGTTTTCCATGATGCAAAGCTACACTGTGTGTGGAAAATAATGTGCAAGTTAACTTCTGTGTGTTTCTGCCAAATCTGCTTTCTGCTCCTGCTAAAGGAGATGAATAGACATAGTAAACAAACCTCCTGCTCCTTCCAGACTTGAGCCAAGGCTGCTGCACAGCACCCATTCAGTGAGCCAAAAGTAGATCCTGCACACGCCACGTTGCTGAGCCTTTCACCCGTCGTCCTTTTGACCTCCCCACCCCCACGACCTACAAACACCATGACCTCTGAGCTGGAGAGCAGCCTGACCTCAATGGACTGGCTACCCCAGCTGAGCATGAGGGCAGCCATCCAGAAGGCGGACACAGGTCACCACCACAGCCACCATCACGGACACCACCACCACCACGGTCACCATCACGGGCAAGGGCCTGGCAAAAAAATCGTTCATCTGGACCCAGGGACGACGCTGGACCAGGAGGAAGCTGCACAGCACAGAGACGGCAAACCGCCCTACAGCTACGCCAGTCTCATCACGTTTGCCATCAATGGCTCGCCGCGCAAACGGATGACCCTCAGTGAGATCTATCAATGGATCTGTGACAACTTCCCCTACTACCGAGAGGCGGGCAGCGGCTGGAAGGTAAGATGAGATAAACTATTTGATTTGGGTCTTACTCATTAGGTTTGGGTTCTAATATCTGGTTCCACTTTGGGTCTGATTCTAGGATGTCTTGAGAGATGTATTAACCAAATACACAACACTGTCTTGTATCTCTCCTCACTATTTTATGTTAGGAAATGGCAACGTGCAAAATATTCATATTGCAGGCTTCCCTTTTTTCATTGCTGGTTTTGGAGCAGGTAGCTCATAATAAATTCAAAACTGAAGAAGATGTGCAAAATTAAATAGGTGAGCAAAATTATTTCAATACTTCATCCTGCTGTTCTTCATTTTCAAATCTTAGCGACTGATTTTGTTGGGTAGGAGGTTAGAGAACCATCACGAGTAGCTAAGATTTGTAGATCTCCATCAAATGTTTGAGATAAGTTTTTAATAATTTACAAATCTTAAAAGCTAAACCTAGATTTGATAAAATAAATCTTATTTCACACTGGATTTAAATTTGATGAAAAGTTATCTGGCCCCTAACCCTGCTAGTCCTCAAAATGCAATAATCAGATCCTGTTGCCTCGAAGAGCACAGAAACCTTTTAGTGAACCAGGAATGATTGACAGGTGCATTTCGGCTCATTCAGATGACATTATTAAATCCTTATGTAAATGTGGCTATGCAAATCCTGACTAATATGAGCAGAAAGGTGGCTGTGTTATTGGAGACAAATGAACAGATCCCTATGGATGTGTCTTGGGGATTCTCTACCTTATTAGTGAAGAAGGGGATGGATATAGTCCTTCCACTGACACATTGAAAAGGCTGTCTGCAAACTATCACCCGATTCATCTCTCTGAGAGCGGGAACATTTTTCTTCTTCTCTCATTATTTCTCACTCTTTCACTCTCTATCTTCATCTCCCAAGCACTTGCACTCAACCACCACCACCACCACCACCACCTCCCCCCTCATCTCTCCTTCACTCTCTTAGTCACTCACTCCTCTCCTCTCTTCTTCTTTCCCTTTTCATGAACCTGCGTTTGTTCCCCCGTCTATAATCTTCAACACAGTATTCCCTAAGCAGAGATGCACGCCAGAAATGGAGACAAAAAGGTTATGATACAAGCCAGGTTGTGTTGGCAGAGCTCCTTTACCTGCATGTGGGATTCAATCAATTAGCTTTCTGAGAGACGATAGGGGTTATTTAGACCATTCAGGCTTTTCTTCACTACGGGTTCATTGCTGCCTTTTCCTTCTGGTTATGTTTGGGTGCCAGGATGTTTTTGTATCTCATAATTGTACCTTTAAATTCAGTGTTTGGTTGCATTCTAATAACATCAGTAAAGCACCACTCTGATGGCACTGTGGTTAAATTTTCGCATGTTCAAACACTATCATATCAGTGCAGGGAGTTTATTGCAAGATATTTGATTTGAACTTAAACTTGGATTATACTTGCTGATCCTGGAGTCATTTCTACCTTCCAGTTCTTTTAACTTGATATCCACAGCGTGTCTATGGCCCCAGCATCAAGATTCCCAGGTAGCTTCTGAAGGGAGACTGCTTGTACTTTTAGTAAAGACATGGCATTCTGCTGGAAACTCTGGGAAAAGACTTTCAGGTCTCCAAAACTGTTTTGGTTGGATTTCTTCTTCCTTGCCATTTTCTGGTGGTGTGGTCTTATTTTTCTCAGTGGCGACACCTTTCATGTAGAATAGGACTCCACCGAGTCACTGCACCTGAAGAATGTGTATGAAAGCGAAAGATGTTATGTCTACCATGTCTGCCATAGTGCTCACAATAACCAATCCGTTCAGCATATCAGCGGCTTTAGTCATGAGCCATCCTGCTTGTTAATCCAGAAATCTGTCTGTCTGTCCTTTCTTTTCTTGTTCATCGGATCGACTTTAAACTTGGCAGGCTTATTTCCGAGGAACCCTGGAAGTGCAGTTGTTGACTGTGAAGAGTTTTTGGATGAGCTAATTTATTTACCATTTTATAATAGGATGACATGACATTCACATCACAACTGTTTGAGCTTTGTGAGCAACTAGCATCATGCTATTTTTTTTTTAAATCAAATGCAATGGCACATTTTGTACAGGCAAAAATGTAATAACTGCCATAACAATGCACAATATTTGTTTGCACATTAAAAAAATCTACAAGACTCTATGAGATAGTTGAAAATATGCTTATTTAGATGTCTTTATTTCTATATTGAGATTGTTACATAAAATACAGTGTTGCACAGCCACTAACCTGTTTATAAACAAATTGAACAATCTGCAGTATTTCAAGGTAAAGCTCCACATTTCTGTAATTGTCTCTGATAAAATGCTGCAGACGTTCTCTTCCTCGATGACCCGACCAAACACAGTAAACACAGTGGGGCTTGTTTAGTACCAGCCATGGCCATCACTGGGAAAGTTACATAAGTCTAGTTCATTCCAGTTCAGGTGATTGCTGTCAGCTGTACACAGTGGGACGCGGGTACAGAGATTGTTTGGCTGCCATGTTCTGCAGACATGGTCGACTCACACATGCACACGTTGCAAGTACACTCTTTCAAATGTGTTTTCTGAATGCGAAGACTCAAGACGAAGCGCTTGAGCTTTTAGAAAACATCTCATAGGTGGTATGGCACGCGGCTTCCTTCACCCTCTGCCACACACACACGTGCATGCATGCAAACACACACACACACACACACACACA